CACTTCATTGAGAAACCTGGCTTCCATCATTCTCCATCCGTTCACTCTATTGCTCAAGTACCACGTACGTGGAGAGTGGTTTCAGAATTGTTATCCTCTGCTCTTACGGGAACCAACTTTAGCAACTAGATAGTGGTGCTTAGGCATATTGCCTTTTACCTTTAGTCTTATAGACTCTACTTATTTCCAAAGTTATTTAAGTCAGTACCTTATTCCCCTATTCCCTTAAGTGAGATTGTTTCATAACGTTTGTAGTATCATTGGATTCTTTTGTCACATTCTCCATTCCATCCTATCTTAGAGTAAGGGCACAATCAAAGGTATCTATTGCTAATATATAATATTTATTTATATATATTTGAGACAGGGTCTTGCTCTGTTGCTCAGGCTGGAGTGGTGCTATAGTGGTGCTATAAGGGCTCATTGTAGCCTTGACCTCCCAGGTTCACATGATTGTCTTACCTCAGCCTCCCAAGTAGCTGACACTACAGGCGTGCGCCACCACATCACTCTAATTTTTTGTATTTTTTTATAGAGACAGGGTTTTGCCATGTTGCCCAGGCTGGTCTCAAACTTCTGCGCTCAGGTGATCCATGTGCCTCGGCCTTCCAAAGTGCTCAGGCTACAGGTTTGAGAAGACGTGCCTTGGCCCACTAGCATTTTATTTATTTATTTATTATTTATTTATTTATTTATTTATCTTTCTCCTGTTACACCAGAAAAAATTAGTAGGCAACTGCTAACATATTTTTTAATGGTTCCCTAATATTCATGGTTCAATGGCCCATAATTTACTGAGACAGCTGCCTATTGACAAATGCTTAGCCAATTGTTCCTTATTGGACAATGGGCTATTATTGGACTGCTATAGATACCATGGTCAATAACATTCTTATATATTAATCTTTGTGCACACTGATCATTTCATTATGGGAAATTTCTATAGATAGTTAAATCACTGAAGTAAAGAGTATGAACCTTTTTAAGGCCCATACTATTTCAAATTACCCTCTGAAAAATGTAAACTTCACCAGAACTAACTGAGAAGCCTCAAAAGACTGAAAATTATGATTTAAAAGTGTTTTCTCAATTTGACCTATCAAAAAAGAGGTCTGTTATCGTATTATGTGAGGTTGAGTTTTTTTTCACCATTTGTGTGTCTTCATTCTTTCATTATCTCTCATATCCCTTACTCTTTTTTTTTGTGAGATGGAGTTTTGCTCTTGTTACCCACGCTGGAGTGCAATGGCATGACCTGGGCTCACTGCAACCTCCGCTCCCAGGTTCAAGTGATTCTCCTCCCTCAGCCTCCCGAGTAGCTGGGATTACAGGCATGCACCACCATGCCTGGCTAATTTTGTATTTTTTTTTTTTTTTTTTTTTTTTAGTAGAGACAGGGTTTCTCCATGTTGGTCAGGATGGTCTCGAACTCCCAACCTCAGGTGATCCACCCTCCTCAGCCTCCCAAAGTGCTGGGATTACAGGCGTGAGCTACCACACCTGGCCTATTTATTTTATTTTATTTATTTATTTATTTATTTATTTATTTATTTATTTATTTTAGCGTAAGCTTTGTTTTTCATCTCTAGCTGTACAGCTAAACTGGAAATCTGACGCTTCATTTGTAGCAAGTCAGTGACCTTCCCCTGTCATTAGGAATGCTGAATATTCTTGCTTTGTGGAACTTCCCGAGGGATCTTGCTTTCTGGATGCAAGGAGTGCAGAGGGATTTGCCTTTCCCCGTGACTAATCTCCAGGAATCCAGGCTGAGACTCTTCTCTGTTTGCTCACAGATGCAGGATTTAGTTCCTCCATAACTATAATTACCAAGGAATTACGGCAGTTGTTTTCATATTTCTCTTCGAAGTGCTGTTGATATTTGAAGATTCTTCTCATGTGATCACTCTTCTAAATATGGTCTCAGGACTCTTCAGATGGAGTGAGGATTTTATATGGGTTTTTAATTTGTTAACTGATGTGTCTGTGTGCATTGGAGAAGTTTCTTCTTTCAAACTATACAAAGAAGTTTGCATCCTCAAAAAGATTGACCACCTCAAGTGATGCTTCTAAATTCGATACTTGATGACAAATCCCTCAAAAAAGTCTATCTTGGGCTGAGTCAAGGGCCTTCTTTTTCTCAGTTGGATCACATAGTCTCCAATTCTGAGCATTCTCATGGTTTTCATCTTGGGGGCTTTGGTGTTTCAACCTGGAGCCTTGAACATTATACGAGTCAGTGTGAGAGAGTGGAGAGACCCCAGGAGTGCTGGCTGGCGGTAGCAGTCCCCATGCTGCAATCCTGCGGTGCAATCTTGGACAAGTTTCTTGACATTTCTGAGCTCCAATAAAAATGGTTAGTGGAATGAATAAGAAAATCATACAAGGTGGTTCCTCAATCCCTAAGGACCCTTCTGGCTCCACATCTGATTTGAATTGGTCTTATGGTCACATATCACAGACTTGGAAGGTACCAGAAAGGCCCAACCTGAAGGCTGTAGCTATATTGTTATACTCCTTCAACCCCTAGGGAAGGTCATATTCCTGCTCCACATTCCTCCCTTCCCATGTATGGAGTCAGAGGCAAGGGCCCAGCAGCTATTCTCTTAGATGCAGTTGACTTTCCTCTTTACCTCCCCTCATTCTTTCTTGCTAAATTTATCAACCCTTTCTTCTTTTCTGAAAAGGAGCTCTAAAAATCACTCTTATCCTCAAACTCAAATTATGCTTTGAACCAGAAAGTGTTCAGAATTTGGAAATGCAATGTTTTTCAAGTATTTAAATGAGAAGCAGAGACACCCAAAGGCTACTTCATCATATTTTAATTCTATTTCATTTAGTGCTAATTTAAAACAGAAACCTGTGGAGTAGAACCAAGGATGCAGCCATAAAGTCAGGAGGTAAAAGCCTGGGAAAGCAGATAACGTCCTTCTCCTCCTCCCCCTGACGACTGACTCATCCCTGCTCCTCACTGTCTTCCTCCTGCCCAATGCACAAAGTTATTATGTTTGAATTGATAATTGCAAGAGATTCACTGGTCTAACTTCATTGTCTCTTTCCGAGTAACATGCCACCTGTCACGATGATTTTACTAGCTCCTTTACAATGGAGTCAGTGTAGTCTGCTCTGCAAATTCAATCAAATCCACCAGCAAGATGCAGAGGCTGCTGGAGTAGATGAGGTTGACAGCTGGGGGTCTCAGAGAGAGATTTATCAGCATCTTCAACTGCACACTCTTCACTTGGCTCATTGGCTACCAGAGTTTTTTATTTTCTGTTTGCTCCTTGTTCTTTAGAAGCTCCAAGAACACCAGAACTTCCTGGGAATTTCAGGCATCACTGAGAACTTCCTGGCAAAATAGGAGGACTAGTGAGACACGGCTTGATTGTATGTGCTTTAAAAGTCTCCTGTGGTGGGGCGTGGTGCCTCACCCAGGCATGTCTGTAATCCCAGCACTTGGGAGGCAGATGCGGGAGGATTGCTAGAGCCCTGGAGTTCGAGACCAACCTGAGCAACATATATTTTCTACAAAATATAGAAAAATTAGCTGGGTATGGTGGCACATGCCTGTAGTGCCAGCTACTTGGGAGGCTGAGGTGGGAGGATCATCTGAGCCTGGGGAGGTTGAGGCTGTAGCGAGCAGAGATCGTTCCAAAGTACTCCAGGCTGGGTAACAGTGTGACATCCTGCCTAAAAAACAAATAAAGGCTTCTTACTGCACTCCAAAAGCTGATACTGAAAGACTTGATGCAAATAAATGCTTTCTCTCAAGAATCCAGGATGGAGGGGATAATAGCAGGCAGAATTCACAGTCCAACTACCCAGCAGGATGCCCAGGGGCCCTTGCAGACACTTTTACCAAGTAACGAGTGAAGCCTGAAGCTGGTGATGCCTTTACTTTAGTCTCCTACAATACTTTCAAAATGGGGACACAACAGGCAAGAGGTGACCAAGCCTCCCTAGCCTGAGTGAGTGAGAAGACACCACCAGCTCTACACAAGCAGAGTCACCGGTGCCCTTGCTTCTCCAGTGCTCTCCTTACTTAAAGTGGTGTGATTTGCTGGGAAGGACATCTCGAGCTCTCGAGCTGTGTGTAATGTTCAATTCTCAGTATGTAGACATGGTTGAAAATGTCAGGGGAATAAAAACTAGAATTTCAAGAAGCCCCCTGATATGGTTTGGCTGTGTCCCCACCCAAATTTCATCTCGACTTGTAGCTCCCATAATCCCCACATGTGGGACAGACCTGGTAGGAGGTAATTAAATCATTGGGGCAGGTCTTTCCTGTGCTGGTCTCATGAGAGTGAGAGTGAGTACGTCTCATGAGATCTGATGGTTTTATAAAGGGGAGTTCCGCTACACATGCCCTCTTTGCCTGCTGCCATGTAAGATATGCCTTTGCTCCTCCTTTGCCTTCTGCCATGATTGTGAGGCCTCTGCAGCCTTAAGTCAATTAAACCTCTCTCCTTTATAAATTACCCAGTGTCGGGTATGTCTTTATTAGGAGCATGAGAAGGGACTAATATACCCTCTCTTCTCCCCTCAGGGTCACTTGCAATCCTTGGTGGGTGCGAGTGAGGACAAGTAAACTTGCATCCCACCAGCCTTTTAAGAGATGGAGTCCCTAAGAACCTGGGTCCACCAGACACTGGGGATAATGAGTTAAGACTAAATAAGTGCGACAGGGACTCAAGAGAGCTTGAATTTCACCGATCTCTGTCAAAAGCAAGCCATGTCCCCTCTCTGGACTTGTGACTCTTCAACTGTAAATGTAAACTCTGAAATTCTGATTTTGGGGGGATTATTTCAGGAGATAAAGTAAGATTACCCTAAACCTGTTTGAGAAGGCACAGGAAGATGAAGAGAGAAACACAAACTGGGTTTGACTTCAGTTTGCACACAAATTTATGAGAAGCACATTTCGTATTTGACTGTGAACCACAGCCTTTACATGCAGATAAATAGAAACACTGCAACTTGGAAACCATGAATCTGTCTTTCAGGGTGAAGTGGAGATAGAACCCTCAAGGAGCTATGCTCGGGATGAACAGTGTCTGCTGTCATTGTAGTGAAGGGAGCACTTCAGGGCGCCCGTGAACTGTCCCGTACTGTCCAGCGCAGGGGGTCAATGCAGGCCCCACTCTGTGAATCCAGACCGAGTCTGCTTGGCCCCAAGAATTTCCAGGTTGGCCCCAAGTGAATGCCACCTGGCTGTAAGCATGGTCACACTCTGCCACAGAGCGGAATTGCAGGATTCTGATAAACCTCAGGGTAAGTCATGTTCTTTAGACTTAAGCACATAGTAAAAGCCTGTGACAACAGAGAAACTCATACAAAGAAAGATAGTCCTGTTTCCTATGTGGATGTTATAAATAGGCTTAACCACATAATCAGTGCTTACTGCAGGCATTGTGTGCCATATACTCTGCTGGGCATAAAGGAAAACACCAGGAGAAGTAACAACAGAATAATTTACCATTTACCCACTGTATGATCTTCCTTGGGCAAGTTACTCAACCTTTCTGTCTGTCAGATTTCCCAGTTGAAAATGAAAAGGATGATAATGACACTACTGACCTTATAGGGTTGTTAAAATAAGGCATTTAGCAGACTAGCTGGCACCATACCAAAAATGTTAATTATTATTGTTTTTATTATATATAAAAAGTAGTGGTAAGCTTCTTGGGATTTTATGAAATTTTATGAAAACGCTTTACTTTTATCGTGTCATTGGATTCCTATAACAACCTGGCAAAGAAGGCATTCTCATTTCCATTTTGCAGATAGGAATGGAAGCCTACCTAGGATTACACACCTAAAAAGGGGAGAGAGGGCAAATTTGGATCAATTCACTGTTATTTTCACTTCACTAAACTGCCTCCCATAAAGGCTAGAAAAACAGAGCTCATGTACTTAAGAGCCCTGCTATTTATGAGGGTAGCCAAAAACTCAACAAATGAAAATGACATGGGATAAATAAGTGTCTGATACAATAGTGCTAGCAATGCTTAGACATTTGCAATTAATTCTAGGCAGAACTGTGACTCAGCAATTGCTGTGGAAGTGCTGCAAGTAGAGTGGTGTGGGGGAGAGGCTGGCTGCTGCCTGGTGATCACCCACTGGACTGCTGTGGGTGCATGTACTGGTCCATTACTAGTCTGCGCATGGGACATATCTAGCCATTGAATGGAATTATGGCTCTTTTTTTTTCTTCAACTTTTATTTTGAGTTCGGGGATACATGTGGAGGATGTGCAGGTTTGTTACATAGGTAAACATGTGCCATGGTGGTTTGCTGTACAGATCAACCCATCACCTAGGTATTAAGCCCAGCATTCTCTCTCCCTTGGCTCCCCACCTCCACTGACAGACCCCAGTATGTGTTGTTCCCTACCATGTGTCCACGTGTTCTCAGTGTTCAGCTTCCACTTATAAGTGAGAATATGTGGTGTTTGGTTTTCTGTTCCTGTGTTAGTTTGCTGAGGATAACAGCTTCCAGCTTTATCCATGTCTCTGCAAAGGACATGATCTCAATCATTTTTATGGCTGCATATTATTCCATGATAGATATGTACCACATTTTCTTTATCCAGTCTATCATTGATGGGCATTTAGGTTGAATCTATGTCTTTGTTATTGTGAATAGTGCTGCAGTAAACATACATGTGCACGTATCTTTATAATAGAATGCTTTATATTCCTTTGGGTATATACCCACTAATGGGATTGCTGGGTCAAATGGTATTTCTGTCTCTAGGTCTTTGAGGAATTGCCACACTGTCTTCCACAATGATTGAACTAATACATTCTCACCAACAGTTCTCACCAAAAAGAACAATGTTCCTTTTTCTCCACAACCTCACCAGCGACTGTTGTTTCTTGACTTTCTAATAATCACCATTCTGACTGGTGTGAGATGGTATCTCATTGTGATTTTGATTTGGATTTCTCTAATGATCAGTGGTATTGAGCTTTTTTTCATGTTTGTTGGCTGCATGAATGTCTTCTTTTGAGAAGTATCTGTTCATGTCCTTTGCCCACCTTTTAATGGGGTTGTTTGGTTTTATTTTTCTTGCAAATTTGTTTAAATTCCATGTAGACTCTGGATATTAGACCTTTGTTGATGGATAGATTGCAAAAATTTTATCCCATTCTGTGAGTTGTCTGTTCACTCTGATGATAGTTTCTTTTGCTGTGCAGAAGCTCTTTATTTTAATTATATTTCATTTGTCAAATTTTGCTTTTGTTGCTATTGCTTTTGGCATTTTTGTCATGAAATCTTTGCCCGTGTCTATGTCCTGAATGGTATTGCTTGGCTCTCTTTAGTTCTGCACTCCCATCTGTTGGCTCTCCCCTCTGTCTATCTATCTCCAGTATCCTAGTGTCCCTTGGATCTCTCAATCCAGACATCTGCTCTTCAGAATTTCATCACAGCAAAGATCGGATGAATTCTTACAGATAAAGGTGAAAATGCCTGATTGGGTTTTATATGGACCTCCTTCCCCAAACTGTATTCCCTAGCCCAATCTAAACCCTGGAATGTAGATAATTGTACAAGGTAAAATGCCAGAAGACAAAGAGGTAGTGGATATTTCAGCATGAATAATTTAGGGTAGTGAGAAATTTTGAGGAAAGAGGGGATCTATTGGAGCCATTTAAAGATGCTATACAATTTGCCCATCTAATCTGCTTTTTAAAAATGTAGTAAATCTGAAGTTAATAGGCTCTCAAGTAAATAAGCTCCAAAAGGTCAGAGATTATGTCTTTCTTATTTACTATTATATCTACAGTACTGGCACAGTCCCTAGTACATAGCAGGTGCTCAATAAATATTGGTCAAGTGAATGAATTATTTGATGAATGACTCAATGAAGACTTACATTGTAGATTTACATGAAATTTATCTGACCTAGATGAGTATTTTGATTGACTGGCCATGAAGAAATCTTGAAATATTTGACTTGTTATATTGAGAGAATAAAATACTTTTATTCTTATTTTTACGAAAAGAATCTCTTGAACAAGGAGAAGGATGATAAATTGAATGAAACATATTGCTCATCTGCTATAGAAAAAATGTACTACTCAACAGTTATTACTATCATATCATAGCACCTGTAGTATGTATGTTTCCTTTTTCTAACACATTAGAATGGTCAGGAATTGACTTGACATTGAATGATACTGACACGTGTGTTTCTTCAGCATCTCTGGCAAATGGTCCTAACACAGACTTTGCAGCTCATGGAGAACTGGAAGCCTGGCATCTTTACACATTGGAGATAAGTTATAGAACACTATGCAGTTACCAGTTTCAGTTCTGTTTATTCCTTTGTATAAATCCACATTTCTATCTAGTATCATTTCTTCTGCCTGAGGGACTTCATTTGACATTACTTGTTGTGTTAGTCTGCTGGTGATAAATTCATCTAGCCCTTGTATGTTTTAAAGAGTTTATGTTTAATGTTCATGTTTGAAAGATACTTTCACTGGTTATAGAATTTTAGGTTGACAAGTTTTTGGGGGTGAAGGGTGGACTGGGGGTACGTTAGAGACGTTACTCCATAGTCTTCTTGCATGCATTTTTTCTGATGAGAAATCTGTCATCAGCATCTTTGCTTCTCTGTATTTTACCTACCTTTTCCCCCTAAAGGCTGCTTTTATAATTTTCTGTTTATTACTTTTTAAAGGCAAGTTGAGTTTAATTCACTATGGTGTAGTTTTCTTCATGTTTATTTTGCCTGGGACTCATTGAACTTTTTAAATCTGTGGCTTTATAGCTTTTATCAAATTTGGAAAATTGTTAGCCTGTTTCTTCTAGTTTTTTTTTTTTTTTTCTGTTCTTGCCCCCTTTGGAGACACCGATTAAAGACATATTAGGCCACTTGAAATTGTATTACAGCTCACTGATACTAAGGGTATTTTTTAAGGGTTGATTTTTTCTTTATGTTTCATTTTGGCTAGCGTACATGGTTACTTGCTTCAAGTTTATTAATCTTTTTTCAGCAAAGTCTACTTTGCTTTTAATCCCATCCAGTATAGTTTTCATCTAAGACACTGCATTATTCACTTGTAGAAGTTCAATCTGAGTTTCTTTTTAATTTAATTTTTTTTTTTTTTTTTTTTTGAGACAGAGTCCTTCTCTGTCACCCAGGCTGGAGTGTAGCGGCATGATTTCGGCTCACTGTAAACTTCACCTTCTGGGTTCAAGTGATTCTCCCGCCTCAACCTTCTGAGTAGCTGGGATTACAGGTGTCTGCCACTACTTCTGGCTAATTTTTGTATTTTTAGTAGAGATGGGGTTTCACCATGTTGGCCAGGCTGGTCTTGAACTCCTGACCTCATGTGATCTACCTGCCTCTCTTTTTAATTTTTAAATTTTTGTTTTATTTTATTTACTTATTTTTTTTGAGACAGGATTTCACTCATTTGCTGGAGTGCACAGGCACGATTATAGTTCACTGCAGCCTTGATCTCCTTGGCTCAACCAATCCTCTTGCCTCATTCTCCCGAGTAGCTTGGGACTATAGGTGTGTGCCACCATGCCTGGTTACTTTTTGGGGGATTTTTTAGTAGAGACAAGGTCTTGCTATGTTGCTCATGCTGGTTTCAAACTCCTAAGCTCAACCGATCCTCCTGCCTGGGATTACACGTATGAGCCACCATGCCTGGGTGAGTTTCTTTTTCATATCATCCATGTCTCTACTTGACTTTTTAAACATATGGAATACAGTTATAATAGCTGTTTTATGTTCATATCTCCTAAATATAATATCTGTATCAATTCTGGTTCAGTTTTGATAGATTAATTTTTCCCTTCACCATGGCTTATATTTTTTCTACTTCTTTGCATACCTGGTAATTTTTTATTAGATCCCAAACATTATAGATAGCACCTTTTAACAATTCCTACATATATTCTTGAGTTTTGTTCTAGGACATAGTTCAGTAACTTGGAAATAGTTTAAGCTTTTTAGGTCTTGCTCTTGGACATGACCTGAACAGAATTTAGACTAGGACAGGATTTTCCAACCTCAGTACTTTTGCCATTTTGTATCAGATAATACTTTTCTGTAGGATATTTAACAGCATCCCTGGCCTCTACTCACTAGATTCCACTAGTAGCTCCCTTAAATGGTGACAATAAGAAAAAAAATGTGTCTAAACATTGCCAAATGTCCCCTGGAGGCAAAATTTCCCCAGTCTGAGAGCAACTTATGTAGGATTAATTTTGCCCCACCACTGCGGCAAGATCCTTCTGAATATTCTATT